ACTCTTGTTAATAAAACTATTTATTAACAATTAGGCCGAGAAACAACGTGCTGACTTAGCAAGAGAGATTGATGAACTCAGCGAGCGCTTGGAAGAAGCTGGAGGTGCTACATCTGCACAGGTAATTAAATTGAAAAATTAATCATTTTTGATTTTTGAAATTAAAATAGGAGCTTAGAAATAATTTTTTTTAAATAAATAGATCGATCTCAACAAAAGACGTGAAGCCGAAATGGCCAAGTTGAGGAGGGATTTGGAAGAATCTAACCTGCAACACGAACAAATCCTTGGCAATCTCAGGAAAAAACATAACGATGTTGTTGCTGAATTAAGTGACCAAATCGACCAAATGAACAAGCAGAAGGCTAGGTAGATAAATTTATTTTTCAGAAATAGACTATTGAGTTTATTTTATTAATAATAATTAAATTTCTGTCATTGAATGTTAATGAGATTATTTTAAATTATTGTCTATTTTATTTAATTATGCATACATTATAAATTATAAATTGTAAGTAGAATAGAGAAAAACTTTTTAAATTGTTATTTATTACTTCCTTTAACTTTTTACATGTTACTATTTGTCTTTAACAAAAAAATAGAATAATTTAATAATAATACATCAAAATTTTTGACATATAATTCATGACATTTTGATTAATTTTAAAATTTACCTGAATTTTGAACCCACTTATAGCATAAGAGATCAAATTGTTTACATAGATAAACAATCTATTTGCAATACACATGATTAGAGCAATAGATGGAGCCACGTAATGGTTTTATGATATGATTTGCAATGAGTTTCTAATAAATAATTGAAATTCTAATTATAACAAGGGGAAAAAACCCCTTTGCCATGTCCTCAAATAATTGACATAATAACGTTTCGTGTTTCTTTTCGTTTTACCGTAGAAATTAATGTTATTCTGTAATGTATTATAAACCGGTTGAAGGAACACAAATGATTAACAGTTTGCGCAGGAGCGATAGGCGCAATCCACTTACCCTTTCGAACAGAGTTTAGATATCGTGCCAACTTTTTATTAGAAAACAACTACTCGAATTTAAAGATTTTCCAAGGACAATAATCCTCACAAGTCAGGTTGGAACAATGCTATCCATTATAAAAAATTTCGCTTTAATGGTGCTTCTTCTGTCCACTTGTCATCAGATATGTGGTAAGAACGTTTTTTTGTTTTGTTTTTAAAAACTGTTCCGATTTGAACTTCTAAAATTGCATATTAACATGTGAAAATTTTATATTATAACATCTGTATGATTAGAATATTATAGTAATTAGATTAATACATATATCAAAATAATTATTATACAATTTCAAAATTATTCAATTATTTCAAAAATTCTCANATTAAGTGACCAAATCGACCAAATGAACAAGCAGAAGGCTAGGTAGATAAATTTATTTTTCAGAAATAGACTATTGAGTTTATTTTATTAATAATAATTAAATGTATCAATAAATCTAAAAATTATAATTGATCGCGTAAACTAGTATAGCCTACATAATTCTAATTATTTTTAATTTATCTTACAACCCTCATTTCTTGGCTTTAATCTTATTGTAATGCTGTTTATTCGATTAAGATAAGCCTTATTCAATATAATATATAAAGCTATATTGAGTAAGATTTAAAATACTGTAAATTAGACTTACGTAAAACATAAAACTTACATAAAACGCCGAAGTTAGACTCATGTATGATATTTTAATATGTAATCAAATATTGAAATAATTTCTTAATAGGTTAGAGAAAGAAAAGGCTCAACTGAAGGGAGAATTAGACGATGTACGTTCTAGCGTGGACCATGTAGGCAAGGAAAAGGTAAATTTGAAATTTTTATCAAAATAGTTAAATTAATAATAAATGATTGAATAATTTACAATTTTATAATTTATAGGCTAATGCTGAGAAACAAGCTAAACAATTAGAAATGCAATTGTCAGAATTACAAGGCAAACTTGATGAATCTAATCGTAGCTTATCTGATTACGATAGCGCCAAGAAAAAACTAAGTGTTGAGAATTCCGAATTGCAGAGACAATTAGAAGATGCCGAATCTCAAGTTAGCCAGCTTAGCAAACTGAAGTCATCTCTCCAATCACAATTAGATGATGCAAGGAGAACAGCCGATGAGGAGAGTAGGGTAAGCACAGAAAATAAATAAATAAATTCTAATTATTTTATGGAATTAAAAGTTACATTTCTATATTATTTATTTTTTGTAATACAGGAACGATCTGCTATCATGGGTAGATTCCGCAACTTAGAACACGATCTTGATGGCCTCCGCGAACAATTAGAGGAAGAACAAGAAGCCAAAGCTGATCTGCAAAGGCAGATGAGCAAAGCTAATGCCGAAGCCCAATTGTGGAGAAGCAAATACGAGAGCGAAGGTCTTGCTAGACTGGAAGAATTAGAAGAAACAAAGTATATAATTTTTCTGTAAAAATTAATGCGTTTTATTATAATCGATTTATTTATCATTATTTATTTTACATTCTAGGAGGAAACTCGATGCCAGATTAGCAGAAGCTATGGAAACCATTGATCAGTTGAATGCTAAATGTAATGCTCTCGACAAAGCAAAATCTCGTCTCCAAGGTGAAGTTGAAGATATGACCATAGAAGTTGAAAGGGTAAAACATTTAATTTTAATTGTATAAAGTATTTAAAAAGGAATTTATTATATAAATCTAATTACTATTCATGTTTTTAGGCTAATGGTCTTGCAGCTTCTCTTGAGAAGAAACAAAAATCCTTCGATAAAATTGTTGCTGACTGGAAACAGAAAGTTGACGATTTAGCATCTGAATTGGATGCTTCTCAACGAGAATGCCGCAATTATTCCACTGAATTGTTCAAGCTGAGGTCACAATACGAAGAGAGCCAAGAACATTACGAAGCTCTAAAACGAGAAAATAAGAATCTTCAAGGTAAGATTTTATTTTACAACATACAGAAATATTTCTAATATTATTCAAAATATTTTAATGATCATTAGTCGCTTAACCTCTCGAAATTGATAAATATTTGCATTTTCAGACGAAATAAAAGACTTAGTGGACCAACTTGGCGAGGGTGGTCGCAGTGTACACGAATTAGAAAAATCTCGAAAACGATTGGAGATGGAGAAGGAAGAACTCCAAGCTGCTTTAGAGGAAGCTGAAGCTGCTCTTGAACAAGAAGAAAACAAAGTTCTCCGTGCTCAACTCGAACTGTCTCAGGTTAGACAAGAAATCGACCGACGACTTCAAGAGAAAGAAGAAGAATTCGACAACACCAGGTAAAATGCAATATTTTAAAGAATGCGTTAATTAATATATTGATTTCACGTTCAATTAAACGTTATTATTTTGTAAATTTTATAGGAAAAACCATCAACGCGCTCTTGATTCCATGCAAGCAAGTCTTGAAGCCGAAGCTAAGGGCAAAGCTGAAGCTCTCCGAATGAAGAAGAAACTTGAAAGTGACATCAATGAATTAGAAATTGCCTTGGACCATGCTAATAAGGCTAATGCAGATGCCCAAAAGAACATCAAGAAATACCAACAGAACTTAAAGGAGATGCAGACAGCTCTCGAAGATGAACAAAGAGCTTGCAGTGACATGCGTGAACAATACCATATGGCTGAGAGACGATGCAACGCTATGCATGGAGAATTAGAAGAGAGCAGACAATTATTGGAACAAGTAAGCATTTAATAATTTTGTGTAATGTTAGTTAACAATATATAAACAATTCTTAAATTTTGATTATTGTTGATTACAGTCTGATAGAGCAAGACGATCTGCTGAAACCGAACTTGGAGAAGTTCACGAACAACTTAACGACGCTTCTGCTCAAGCTTCATCTCTCTCTATGGCCAAGAGGAAGTTAGAAGGCGAAATGCAAGCATTGCATGTAAGATTTTTCTGACAGAAACTAATAAAACAATTTACAACAATTAAACAAGATTATAACATCAATATTAAAAATAAATGTTAATTTTATTTATTTAGGCTGATTTAGATGAAATGTTGAATGAAGCCAAGCAGAGCGAAGAGAAGGCCAAGAAGGCTATGGTTGATGCTGCTCGTCTAGCTGATGAACTTAGAGCTGAACAAGAACACGCTCAACAACAGGAAAAGATGCGCAAGACTTTGGAACAACAAATTAAGGAATTGCAAGTTCGATTGGATGAAGCTGAGGCAGCTGCTCTTAAAGGTGGAAAGAAAATCATCCAGAAACTCGAACAGAAGGTTTGTTTTTAGATGCTCAATCATAAAATGATATAGTTCAATTGGATGCTCGGTACTGAAGTTCTCACACTTTCAATATAGGTTCGTGAACTGGAAAATGAACTTGAAAACGAAACTCGTCGTCACGCTGATGCTGCTAAGAATGCCAGGAAATCAGAACGTAGAGTTAAGGAATTGCAATTCCAAGGAGACGAAGACCGTAAGAATAACGAGCGCATGCAAGACTTGGTCGATAAATTGCAGCAAAAGATCAAAACATACAAGAGACAGATCGAGGAAGCTGAAGAAATCGCTGCACTCAACCTCGCCAAATTCCGTAAGGCACAACAAGAATTGGAAGATGCAGAAGAACGTGCAGACTTGGCGGAGAACGCTGTTTCTAAACTTCGTGCCAGAAATCGCAGCTCAGCATCCGTAGGTCGTGCAATGAGCCCAGGTGTAAGTATACCTAAATGCCTAACATTTGATTCTCCATCTCTCACCATTCCGAAAATCCAAATTCCCAAAAACCAAATATTCCACACGTCCCTATCGAAACATAATTGGAACATCTGAGTTAACTTGCCTACTACTGGTCTTTTCCACTCTCGGACTCCCTGGTGTTGCATATATTTTTAATATATTTTATCGATTATCATATCTGATTTGGTTACCTGCTCATTTTATGTGCAGCCCATGATGAAACGTCCTAAATCCAAACTCGCCGAAGAATAAATCGATCGAAAACATATATAAATTTCTTAGGTGAGCAGCTTCCTTATTATTTAAGATCTGCTAACTAACGCCTATAAAATATGTATGTACTGTACTTGAGATGATAATATTACATTATTAATTACAATATTTTACACATAATTTAACATTTTAAAAGACCATTTTACACCTCACAGTTTAATTTGATGAATTAGATTTTAACTCTTCCTCATATTTTTCAGCCTGCCAACATCGACATCCGTCCCCTCCTAAATACTGCAGCCGGGCTATCACCTTTCCTCTCCATAACACCTCATGGAAAGCAGCTGGCAGAAGCAGAGTCGTCTTCCATTTACGCCAATTAGATTGTGTCATCGTCAAAGAAGCTATTTTTTCTGTGTCTTGTGTTTGTTTTTATATCGTATGTATGAGAAGCTGGACTACACACAAGGATTCTACAATATCAGCCTCTTTTCTCTCGTTCGTGGCTTTTCTTCCGATAATTTAAATAGTTAAAAAAAATATATATCGGATGTGAAAAGGAAGAAAACTGTGTTATTTGTTTTTTCTTGCATTTGGAAATAAAACAACATTATAACACTTTAACGAAAAATTTTGTCTATTGTGCTTTTGGAAGAAGATCCAGCGGCTTTATGTATTATTTTAGAATAGATATTTTATTTCTTCCCTCTTCTATTTCATTTTTTGTCAATAGAAGATGAAAGAAAACAAACGCGTCGATACTGTTGAAGCAATTAATATGCCAGCAGAGGTGTTTGGATAATCCTGTGTACTTTTGAACACTTCCTTAAATAAATACAAGGCTGCGGACATTATAAATTCTTTTATTATTATTATTCTTTTCATTTTTCACTTCTCTTAGATCGCTTTTAACACATTTTATATTACACTCGGGATCAATTATCATTCTTTAATTAAGTAAAGTTTAGCACATTTAAAATTTTTAAAAAGTAAAGAATATGAACTAAACTAAATTAAAATATTATTAACATATCTCAGTTATATAAACTTACGGAAGAAAAAATAATTTTAATTAGAATATTTAAATTCGTGAAATTTACATTCTTTCGAAATTAAATACATATAAACGAATACAAAAGGGTAAACACAGTTTAAAAAATTAATATTTTAAGTATGGCGCATGTACTTAAATGTAATTAACATATTTTTACATAAAATTATTAAATCGTTTCGTAAATGATTTAAAAATCAAATATAAAATTATCATCAATAATTAGTAAAGATTTATAAAGAAAATGAAAAACAATATTTGTGAAAAAATATATATTATCGGTAAAATTTGAAAAAATAAACAATCTTGATATCATTAAAGCTTACGTGATCGGTTATTTTTAAACCAGGCGCATTTTAGAAACGATTACGAGTTAAGTGAAATGAAAACCTTCATATATATGTTTCATTACAACTTCTCTTTTACAAATGAACAGTGATTGATGATGACATTCATGACGTTAATACATAAAACTACACGAATCTACAATTTAAATTATTGAAAATATAAATCCTAATAAATATATAAAGTGTTTAGCTTATTAGCTTACATAGTAATCCAATATATAAAATTCTTTTCTACTCATTTTTACATCAATTTTTTTCTAATATTAGAACTTGAAAACATTTTCCCAGCCACATCTCTATCAAAATGAATGATATATTCACATTTCTCGTAATAAAAAACAAAATTTATGTCTGCTGTCTGTGTATTGCTAATTTTTAAATTTTTGAATTGATTTCAATTGGCATGATAAGAGGATGTTACAACAAAGTGAAAAAGAATTTGATTATATCATAAGATAGTTATTTTAGTAGTTTTCTTTCACTTTCTTCTAAATTGTGTAGGTTGTAAAAGAAGCTAATAGATTTTTAACTTATCAGACATTAAAATTATACTTTGCCACTAAAAAAAACGAATTTAAAAGGTTAAGAAAATATTCTGTCCGAGTATATTTAATCAAAGAGTAAAACCGCACCTTAATTCTGTGCCAAAAGAGCACTCTTTCGTCATTTCGAACCTGGTTGTCACGAGAGACAGAAATAGCATCACAGCACTCATCTAAAAACAAATGCTTCCTTTGATGTTAATTTTTAGTGATGCAATGACGTCATTTACTGTTTTAGCGTACAAAATTGTCCCAATTTTCTTATCCTCTTAATACATCAGCGATTCCATAAATAAGCAATAAATAAGAATATTGCAAATATTTAATTATTTAATATTTATAATCAATTCAATGTAAATTATTTTAAGTTGTTTACTTAATCGGATAATAAGTTAATATATTTATCTATTTTGTATGATATCTTGATATGAAAGGAAAATATATAAATCAAGATATTTTATTAAAAAACACTCAAGTATTCTTTTAGATAGAGTTGTATCGATGGAATTTAAAAGAGCTTAAGATATTAAGAGAATCCATAATAATAATAATAATATAAAATTTAAGCGATGTTATTGATGACAATACTGATCTTTTAATACATCTTTCCATTCTCTTCCTTTCTACCCTAAAATACTAATACTACTACTACTACTAATAATAATAATATATTTTTTGAGAAGTCTCAATGTTAAGGATTATCATTTTAACATCATTTTAAAACAAAATGAATTTTATTATTTATTGAATTTATTTAGAATCATATATATACAGTATTTAGTATATTATACTATATATATATATATATTAAATAAATAAATACTATATATTATTATTTATTTATTTTATTGTACTAATTTTTATTATAAAAAACAATTATAATTTTATGTTACGAGTACACGTATATACTTTACAATTTATAAAGAAATACTTATAGATTTATATATGTTTTATATTGTATAATATTAAAGTAACAATCAGACCAATCTTAATTTATTACTTCAAAACTCATTCCATTTTTTAGACATCTATAAATTAAATAAATTATGTGTAGAGTAGCCTACTGAATAGCGTTAAAAATAGAATTTAAACCAACTCCAATTTGACGAGAGAAAAATATTTTTTTTTCCTAAATTTAAATCTTATAAATCGTAACAATGAGAACTTTTTTAATTAAGTAATTGTGCATTATTTAAATTAATTAAACTTGATATTTTTGGTTAAGTTTCTTTAAATAAAAAACTTAACAGTTTTTAAAATAACTTTCATTAAAGATATCTAAAGACATATTAGAGTTACCTTGAGTACTATGACATATTTTCATTTTGACGTTTTACCACTAAAAACTGATATTTTTGTTGGCTCTGCCATTTAAGATTTTTTTGACAAATTAACCTTAAAAAATTATCAAGTTACAAGTTTTATCTATTCAGGATTAAAAAAAATTGACTTTTCTTTCTAATTTCGTTCTCGTGGTTTCAAATTTAACTTTATTAATTATTTAAAACCTTTAACTGAAATTAATATAAATAATGTCAAATTATTATTATTAATTATTATTAAATTAAAGTTCTATTAATTCTAATTAAGTATTGAAATTAAAATTGGCATCATTCGTCAGTTTCACCAATTTAAATAGTTGGATAGAAGTTATGATTAATCATCGTTATATTAACATGATTTATTTTATTCATTTTAAGTATATTAACTGTTAAATTTAAATATTTAAAGCATCTTTATATAGTTTAATTTAGAAACTGTTCACTCTCAGGAGTAAAACAATTGAATAAAATTAAAAAAATGTAGATATAATCACAAATATTCTAAATATAAAGTGTTTTTATAAATTTTTTAAAATTATAAAAACACTTTATCTGTCATAAAATTTAGGAAAATATTCTAATGATAAAAGAAATGTACAAACCTAACATTTTAAATAATATAACAAACTTTATCTTTTATCTTTCACAAAACTTTGTTTAGTTGTTTAAATAATTCATATATTTACTGAAAATTTCTATCAAATATACTAAAACGCCATAAATTAATTTTGCTTAATATTATTAAATAATTAAATTTCTGTCATTGAATGTTAATGAGATTATTTTAAATTATTGTCTATTTTATTTAATTATGCATACATTATAAATTATAAATTGTAAGTAGAATAGAGAAAAACTTTTTAAATTGTTATTTATTACTTCCTTTAACTTTTTACATGTTACTATTTGTCTTTAACAAAAAAATAGAATAATTTAATAATAATACATCAAAATTTTTGACATATAATTCATGACATTTTGATTAATTTTAAAATTTACCTGAATTTTGAACCCACTTATAGCATAAGAGATCAAATTGTTTACATAGATAAACAATCTATTTGCAATACACATGATTAGAGCAATAGATGGAGCCACGTAATGGTTTTATGATATGATTTGCAATGAGTTTCTAATAAATAATTGAAATTCTAATTATAACAAGGGGAAAAAACCCCTTTGCCATGTCCTCAAATAATTGACATAATAACGTTTCGTGTTTCTTTTCGTTTTACCGTAGAAATTAATGTTATTCTGTAATGTATTATAAACCGGTTGAAGGAACACAAATGATTAACAGTTTGCGCAGGAGCGATAGGCGCAATCCACTTACCCTTTCGAACAGAGTTTAGATATCGTGCCAACTTTTTATTAGAAAACAACTACTCGAATTTAAAGATTTTCCAAGGACAATAATCCTCACAAGTCAGGTTGGAACAATGCTATCCATTATAAAAAATTTCGCTTTAATGGTGCTTCTTCTGTCCACTTGTCATCAGATATGTGGTAAGAACGTTTTTTTGTTTTGTTTTTAAAAACTGTTCCGATTTGAACTTCTAAAATTGCATATTAACATGTGAAAATTTTATATTATAACATCTGTATGATTAGAATATTATAGTAATTAGATTAATACATATATCAAAATAATTATTATACAATTTCAAAATTATTCAATTATTTCAAAAATTCTACAGCTTATAGTAATTCGTAATTATTAAAATTTAATATAAAATATTTTAATATTAAAATTTTGTAATTAAATTTGCAAGGTGTTCTACGTTGAACTTTTAAATAAGAGTGAATTTGGGTGGCCTAAATTTTTTCTTTTTTTTAATAAAAAGTAGGAAAACTTATTATTAAATAAATAAATAAAAAAACAATACATACCGGTACATTAGCACTTTTTAAAAGGATTTTACGATCAGTTACGCTATACGTGATTTTATTGTTTTAAAATGATTTTGCAGAATAAATTTACTATTCCTATTGTCAATCAATAATCTAAAGAAGAAATCTAAAATCTAAAGATATATTGATTACTAAAATTTTAAAGTAAAAATATTTAAATATATTATTTTATTTTAAATTATTGTATTAATAATTTAAATATATTCATAAAAATTAAAGACTATAATAATTATTATATATANGAACAATCTTTTTACACAACTTTGTTATTATTCAAGTATAAATTTCAAATTATTTTTTGTATAATTTGAATATACTAAAATGGATAATGGAAATTAATGACTATTTATTTCTTTATTATTACTTATATTATTAGAAATTAAATCTACATTTACTATTTTTGTTTAGCAATTGAAGACACTAATCCTTGCAATCGAGCAACATGTGCCTGTGATCGAGAAGTAGTATTTTGTTTAGCTAAAAATATCAAGGAATATAAAGAAGAGCACAGATATGTTAGATCTGCATTGAAGACTTGATGTAATAAATTAATATTTTGAGATATTAAATAAGCATAATCGTTTAATACAAAAATATATTTTAAAAAAATTAGAGAAATAAATTTTTAACATCCATTCGAATGAAATTTTCTATTCGACTTCTTAGCACTTTGTTCGTATATAAAATTAATATTTTTAATTTTATAAATATATTCAAAAGATAATGCTCTTATTTTAAATGTATATATTATAATAAAATGTTATTTAACAAAATTTTATTTCTGATATATTTTGTGTTCTATTCAATTCATTTTAGTGAATAGGATAAATCCCATCTAAAGTTAGCCTATATATATTTTAAATCGACATATTTTTAGTTAACATAAAATTTTAAATATTTATTATTAGTAGTGGATGAAGACTCATATACAAAAGATACTTGGTTGTACTGTATATTAATTGTTTCTTTTTCAAAAAAAAAATCCAAGAAAGAGTTGTATAAAAGCTTAATTTTGAGGATAGGAATAAATTTTATTTAAAAAAAAAAAAAATTGTAAATGTAATAACGAGTAAAATCTTCATTAGGCTAAGTTCGACCCTACTTGAGATATGACACGAGTCTCCCTCTATCTCCTCACCCCTCGAACCATCAAAATTTGATAGCATCAATCCCCTAATACCGTGGTTCTCAATCCGTGGTCCGCGGAACACAGGTGCTCAGTGAAGCCATTTCAAATGTTGCGCGAAAATATCAAATATACAATTAAAAATTGTTGCAAAAGGAAAATCAATACAATGTAAAATAATTTTTGTATGGGAATGTAATCAGCAAACACCAATGATGTCATAGTGTGCTCTTGATTTCAAAAAGGTTTGCACCCCTGCTTTAAAGCTGATGTATTGTAAGTGTTCCGGAAAAAAAAAATGTCAAAGTTTAGTGTTCCCCGACTTCAAAAAGATTGAGAACCACGACCCTAATACACAAACCTCCTTGCAAAATTTCAGAAATTTTCCACAAAAGGCACGGGAGTTATTAAACTTCAAAGTGGGTGAACAAAATCATGCATACAAAAAAAATCCCCAAATTTTTAATATTTTTTTTTATTTCAAAAGTGTAAAAATCTTGGGAGGTCTTGTTTTTGACCTATCGCCATATTCTCCTGTATTATATAGGCCTACAACAGCCGAGAAAGTAACAGTCGCTTGAGAACATTCTTCAAGAAACATATGTCAGACACAATCAGCGGTAGATCTAGAAAATTTATGTAAAAACTAAAATGAAAATGATCTGTAGTAAAAGAAACATGAACATTTTAAGCATTCCTAAATCTTTTCTATTGTCATTAGCCTAGTTTTCGCTTTTTAAAAGTAGACCACACAGGAGATAGAAAAAAAGAATTCGCCTGGAACGAAATGGGATCATCTATTTGAGTTTTATACACATAAAGATCCATATATAAAACTCAAAATGATTGTGAAATACGTTAATATCAATGCGGTTAAACATTTTTAAGATAAGATATCTAATAAAAATAATATTTTGGCAACACTCCGATGTTATTTGTGGAAAAATAGCCACGAGGTGAAGAAACTTACGAGATATTTTGTTTTATAAGTAAATTATAAACTAAAGAAATACAATTTCCTATTTCGTATTTGACCGAACGATTAGATTTCTTTAAATAAATCAATCAATAAATAAAAAGAATTTACGTCAAAGGTCTTATGACTAATTTCAGGAAATTGTTTCCTTCTTCAATAATGTATTCGTTCTTGACATAATAATATTTTTATCTCTAATATTACTAATTTAATTTTAATTCGTTCTTGAAATTTGTTAAATATACGATAAATTTATATAGAATTTTAATCATGGTAATGATGGAAAATTGTTAGTTATTATTAAATATTTACTGAAATTTGGTACATAATTTGAGATGTTGAATTTGTAATTTAATTATAAAAGTAATATGATTAATTCATTTAATATAAAGTGATATAAATAATAAATTATTTAAAATGAAATTTTAATAAATTATTCTAATTTTTTTATAATTATGAATAAATATTAATTTTTTTTCCCTAGAATTTCGAAGTTTGGGAAGAAAAGAAAGAAGTCTCATTGATCTAGCAGAAATGGTTAAAATCACAACTGGAAGAAACGGAACGGATTTCGTTCCCTATGGTAATTGGTGCGGGATGGGAGGCAGTGGAAAAGCTATAGATCCTATTGATGAGTAAGTGATCAAAATAATATAAAACGTACCATTAAAACCATCAATCAATATGCTCACTTATTTAAATAATAAATAGATTTTCTAATAAGAAAGAAATTTATTACAGGAATTTTTCTCAAATTTAAGATTTCTATTTAGATTTGTACAAATTTCTTTCCCATAATTTTAAAATGTCTCGTTTAGATAAACGAAAGGAATGCTAAATTTAGTTAGTGTAAAATTGCCAAGTTCATTTTAAATACTATCACGTATTTCTATTTTTAATAAAGGTGTGGTCAAATGAGTAAGTTTAAGTTGAACTGAAAGTATGTTTCGTGTTTAACACATTTAAATTATTACTTATAAACTTTCATTGAATGGCAAATAATAAATGAAATTTTTCAACTTTTTCAAAATGTTTCCTTGATATTATATATATATATATATATAAAATTTGGTTTTGCTTGTAATTTTTAACTATAATTAATTTTAAGTTCTTCAATTAACCGAAAGTGTTAACTGGTCAGTGTTTTTAATCATTGCAAATTACATAAAATTTTCCAGAGAGTTTTAACAGTCTACAAAAATTACAATTCAATGAAATTGTTTGATGTAATCGCAAGAAAAATGTCTATTGAAATAAACATTTTAGAAAAAATAAATATGTTTATTGATACTATTGAGTAAAGATATTGGTTTGTTGCTAGTTTCGATCTAAGTCTTCTCATTACTTCATTTGCCTTATTTATTTACAAATTTCTATTTTTTATTTCGTTCCTAAGTTTTTTTATTTTATTGTATTTATTTTGATAATGAAATTCTATATAAAAGTATGTAATGTATTTATTGTTTTTTTTTTACCGTCTCTGTAAACATTTGAAAAATTCGCCGGTCCGCGATATATTTTGGGTTGAGGATCACTGAACTAAATGATATTTAAACAATTTTAAATCTCTTAATTAATCAGTAGTATATTAAACAAGTACTGTATTTAGATATTTAAGTAATTAAATGCATTGTAGCGAGATTCCATATCTTTACAAACAATCTATAGTATCTAAAATCTGTATATTTTCTTTAATTGAAATGAATCGGATTTTAATTGTAAAGAATTTATAAACGAAGAATACTGTACGTTAAACTTTTTAAAATCTTTTATCTATTTATTCCATTTAGGTAATGTGTTTCTTAGTGTATAGTATGAAAAAAGAAAGATATACTTAAATATTAAATAAAAGTTAAAATTTTACTTGAAAAAATAAAATCTCAGAATAATTTAAACTTTTTCATTCTAAAAAAAAATTTAAATACACTATTGCCAAATGAATGTTTAGTCATAGTTCACATAGCGAAAATCAAAGAAAGAATAATTAAATATCAAATATAAAGGGTTTGATGCGTATCAAGCATATGAAAATATTACATTAATTTAAATTTTAAATAATTTTCAAGAATAAAAATAACGAAAACTCATAACAGGTATTAGATATTGATTGTGATGATTGATACTCATTCACTTCTAATAGGATATCAAATGACAAGACAGTTACTAACTCGACTGATCTCGAAGCATTTGTTATAATTCTATCTTTTATTTGATTATTATCTTTCTGGCAAAATTATACATTAAGAACTTGGGTTATATTTTAAGCGCTTTTTATTAAAAAAAAATACATTTATTTTTTGTAGACCACTAAATTTTTATCATCTCATTTGTTGTTTGATACACTTTACTTGCGATACTGCGTTATAAAGTATTTGTTTTAGTCTCTTGATTAATATGTCCTTGTATCAAAAATATGTTTTTTTCTTTTATTTTTATATTGCCTTTCTATATTACTCGAAACAGCTTTCCGTCATTGACGGTCGACCTTCACTTACGGTTTCCAGAAATGACGATGAAAAATTTTTATGGGTTTTTCTAGGAACCAAAGCAAAAATCCGAAAAAGTTATTCCATATTTTTTTCTTACTTCAATAGAATTTTCTCTTATTTGATTCATTCGTTGCGAAATATCTATATACAAAGCTTTAGTAATAATCTGATTTTATTCGCTTTCTTTACAGATTACCTGAAAAGAAATATTATATTTATTTAAAGTACTTGAATAAATATAATTTTTCAATCATATCAGATATAAAATGTTAGGTTATATATCAAAGACGTAACTATGTTTTTCATATTCTTAATACATATATGTATATATACGCCCTTATTAAGAATCTGAAAATTTAAATTATGTATTTACATACATAATTTAAATTTTCGGCATTTTTTTATAATAATGCTTTAGTCAATAATCAATAATTATCTTAAAAATTTATTTAAAAATGTCATTTTACTTAACCTGTATAATACATAAGTAAATCCTAACATATACTGTAAAATGTTAAGTAAAATGAAAATCATTTTTTAAGATAATTATTGAATTATTAGCTAAGGAATTATTATAAAAATTGCTAATTACTAAGTATTAAATATTAATAATTAATTAATAATCATTTACTCGAAAAAATATTATTAATAGCATCAAATTGAAAAAGTATTTAAAGTCGACTCCCCCTATAACACTGTTGATTTTTCCATTTTATATGAATTCCATGTTGTACGAGTCACTTAGATTTTACAAATACGTGAGCCGTTCACAGCCTGGCACACGTATTTGTAAAATTTAAGTGACTTATACAACATGGAATTCATATAAAACGGAAAAATCAATAGTGTTATAGGGGGGTCGACTGGTACTTTCTTTCCGATTATTTGTTTTATTCCGGTTATTTATGATAATTAAAAAGGAAAACTTGGATGAAATTTATCAATAGTTATTAACCTTTGTCCCTTTCTAATAATTAAAATAAAAATGTGCCCTAATAACAGTCACTTATTTTCTTCTTTACAATAATTTTAAAATTGGCTTGAGAAATGTGGATAATTTTGTAAATTCTTCTGAAATATGATATAAATCTTTACTTGATGTAGAGTATGATATATCTTTAGAAAGATATCAGGATTATCGAGAATTTATTGCATATAACTAAGGAGATTACATTCTTTATTGAACAATTCGTTATTTATGAACGTAAAACGTTCATAAATAACGTAAATCGTTTTATTTTCATTATTGATTATATTAATATTTTATTTTAATGTGCCCTACTATCTCGCTAATTATTTAATTAACCTGTAGAAATGATTTATTATTTACAGTTTTATTGAGTGTAACAGCAATTATTTGAATTAAATTATATTGATGTAAAAAAAAAAAGTAATTTTAAATACTCAAAATAATCCAACAACGAGTTACTTAACTTTTTCGGTAACATTTAAAATTGGGTGTGTGGCGTCATCTGTTATGATATTTTATTTTAAAAACTGTTTATATTTTTGATTATTATAGAATGGAAAAAGTATAATTTTGAGGATATAGATGCGTTTTATTAAAATAAAAATGTAGATGCTAATGAAGAGTAAAGTCTTCATTAACTCCCATCTGACTTGAGATATGTCACAACTTCTCTTTATCTCTCTACTCCCTTGACCTTTAACCACCAAAATTTAACAATATCAATTTCCTAATATACAAACCTCCCTACAAAATTTCATAAATTTTCGACAAAAGACACGGGAGTTATTAAGCTTGAAAGTGAGTGAACAAAAAACCTCCGAATGTTTCTGCGTTTCTCAACATTTTAAGGTCCCCTGAGTCCAAAAATATAAAAATTCTGCGAAGGGTCATTATTTTGCCCCTTTGCCTTACTTTTCCTCTGATATATATAACAGCGGAAAAGTAAAAATAAGCAGAAAATGTAATATAACACGTCATGGTAGATACTCTTTTTTTCGTATGTTGTTTGGAATNGAAAAACATAAAATAAAAATGCTTATAAATGCTAATATAAAAGTAATTTACGACATTCTATAAATCAATAAACATTAGTTTATTTTCAATGTTTTTGTAAGATTGAATTTTTGGTCTAGACTTAAATTTCAGGTCAGCAATCCATTCGAAATAAAATTAGCTTTTGTCGACTCAAGGATTCATAAAAATTAGATCAAGTGATTGTTACGATAATTCGGTTAGTGTTGGATTTCGGTGCAAAAATTATTGTTATATACATTTAGATTAAAAATGTAATTTTATGTTGCTAAATTTTTGTTTATTAGTAAATTAATAAAAAATTCGACAAATATTTTATCATAAAAAAATTACCATTTCCGAAAGGAACTTATTGAATTCATCGTTTTAATACTCTAAAACGATTAATAATAAGTTAATTTTCTATTTTAAAAAATTATTTTTCAAATCTAATTTAAAGAATTTAATTTTTATAAATATTAGTTTAAAAGTCTTTTAATTTATTTTTCTAATTTTGTGTTAATAATGAAATTTTTTCCTGTTGCGCTAATATAACAAAAGTGATGTACTTTAATTTTGTTATATTAATGTAAACTAGAGTTTTTCAGACTTNTTAATAATTAATTAATAATCATTTACTCGAAAAAATATTATTAATAGCATCAAATTGAAAAAGTATTTAAAGTCGACTCCCCCTATAACACTGTTGATTTTTCCATTTTATATGAATTCCATGTTGTACGAGTCACTTAGATTTTACAAATACGTGAGCCGTTCACAGCCTGGCACACGTATTTGTAAAATTTAAGTGACTTATACAACATGGAATTCATATAAAACGGAAAAATCAATAGTGTTATAGGGGGGTCGACTGGTACTTTCTTTCCGATTATTTGTTTTATTCCGGTTATTTATGATAATTAAAAAGGAAAACTTGGATGAAATTTATCAATAGTTATTAACCTTTGTCCCTTTCTAATAATTAAAATAAAAACGTGCCCTAATAACAGTCACTTATTTTCTTCTTTACAATAATTTTAAAATTGGCTTGAGAAATGTGGATAATTTTGTAAATTCTTCTGAAATATGATATAAATCTTTACTTGATGTAGAGTATGATATATCTTTAGAAAGATATCAGGATTATCGAGAATTTATTGCATATAACTAAGGAGATTACATTCTTTATTGAACAATTCGTTATTTATGAACGTAAAACGTTCATAAATAACGTAAATCGTTTTATTTTCATTATTGATTATATTAATATTTTATTTTAATGTGCCCTACTATATCGCTAATTATTTAATTAACCTGTAGAAATGATTTATTATTTACAGTTTTATTGAGTGTAACAGCAATTATTTGAATTAAATTATATTGATGTAAAAAAAAAAAGTAATTTTAAATACTCAAAATAATCCAACAACGAGTTACTTAACTTTTTCGGTAACATTTAAAATTGGGTGTGTGGCGTCATCTGTTATGATATTTTATTTTAAAAACTGTTTATATTTTTGATTATTATAGAATGGAAAAAGTATAATTTTGAGGATATAGATGCGTTTTATTAAAATAAAAATGTAGATGCTAATGAAGAGTAAAGTCTTCATTAACTCCCATCTGACTTGAGATATGTCACAACTTCTCTTTATCTCTCTACTCCCTTGACCTTTAACCACCAAAATTTAACAATATCAATTTCCTAATATACAAACCTCCCTACAAAATTTCATAAATTTTCGACAAAAGACACGGGAGTTATTAAGCTTGAAAGTGAGTGAACAAAAAACCTCCGAATGTTTCTGCGTTTCTCAACATTTTAAGGTCCCCTGAGTCCAAAAATATAAAAATTCTGCGAAGGGTCATTATTTTGCCCCTTTGCCTTACTTTTCCTCTGATATATATAACAGCGGAAAAGTAAAAATAAGCAGAAAATGTAATATAACACGTCATGGTAGATACTCTTTTTTTCGTATGTTGTTTGGAATTAAAATAAAAACAAAGCATTTATTTAAATAGAATTTACTTTACATATTCATTTTAAATTAATTTTTTGCATTGTTTTAATTTCTAATAGATTTCATAAAATTAAGAGGATAGAAGACATTTTTTTTTCTAGTTGTACATTATTCATTAGCTACATCATTTATGAATTGCTATTTATATTAGTATAGACATTGATATTAGTAATAATAACTATTAGTTATAATAACCTATTATATCTAATAGTTTTTCAATCAGTACATAAATATTACATTAATTTAAATTTTAAATAATTTTCAAGAATAAAAATAACGAAAACTCATAACAGGTATTAGATATTGATTGTGATGATTGATACTCATTCACTTCTAATAGGATATCAAATGACAAGACAGTTACTAACTCGACTGATCTCGAAGCATTTGTTATAATTCTATCTTTTATTTGATTATTATCTTTCTGGCAAAATTATACATTAAGAACTTGGGTTATATTTTAAGCGCTTTTTATTAAAAAAAAATACATTTATTTTTTGTAGACCACTAAATTTTTATCATCTCATTTGTTGTTTGATACACTTTACTTACGATACTGCGTTATAAAGTATTTGTTTTAGTCTCTTGATTAATATGTCCTTGTATCAAAAATATGTTTTTTTCTTTTATTTTTATATTGCCTTTCTATATTACTCGAAACAGCTTTCCGTCATTGACGGTCGACCTTCACATACGGTTTCCAGAAATGACGATGAAAAATTTTTATGGGTTTTTCTAGGAACCAAAGCAAAAATCCGAAAAAGTTATTCCATATTTTTTTCTTACTTCAATAGAATTTTCTCTTATTTGATTCATTCGTTGCGAAATATCTATATACAAAGCTTTAGTAATAATCTGATTTTATTCGCTTTCTTTACAGATTACCTGAAAAGAAATATTATATTTATTTAAAGTACTTGAATAAATATAATTTTTCAATCATATCAGATATAAAATGTTAGGTTATATATCAAAGACGTAACTATGTTTTTCATATTCTTAATACATATATGTATATATACGCCCTTATTAAGAATCTGAAAATTTAAATTATGTATTTACATACATAATTTAAATTTTCGGCATTTTTTTATAATAATGCTTTAGTCAATAATCAATAATTATCTTAAAAATTTATTTAAAAATGTCATTTTACTTAACCTGTATAATACATAAGTAAATCCTAACATATACTGTAAAATGTTAAGTAAAATGAAAATCATTTTTTAAGATAATTATTGAATTATTAGCTAAGGAATTATTATAAAAATTGCTAATTACTAAGTATTAAATATTAATAATTAATTAATAATCATTTACTCGAAAAAATATTATTAATAGCATCAAATTGAAAAAGTATTTAAAGTCGACTCCCCCTATAACACTGTTGATTTTTCCATTTTATATGAATTCCATGTTGTACGAGTCACTTAGATTTTACAAATACGTGAGCCGTTCACAGCCTGGCACACGTATTTGTAAAATTTAAGTGACTTATACAACATGGAATTCATATAAAACGGAAAAATCAATAGTGTTATAGGGGGGTCGACTGGTACTTTCTTTCCGATTATTTGTTTTATTCCGGTTATTTATGATAATTAAAAAGGAAAACTTGGATGAAATTTATCAATAGTTATTAACCTTTGTCCCTTTCTAATAATTAAAATAAAAATGTGCCCTAATAACAGTCACTTATTTTCTTCTTTACAATAATTTTAAAATTGGCTTGAGAAATGTGGATAATTTTGTAAATTCTTCTGAAATATGATATAAATCTTTACTTGATGTAGAGTATGATATATCTTTAGAAAGATATCAGGATTATCGAGAATTTATTGCATATAACTAAGGAGATTACATTCTTTATTGAACAATTCGTTATTTATGAACGTAAAACGTTCATAAATAACGTAAATCGTTTTATTTTCATTATTGATTATATTAATATTTTATTTTAATGTGCCCTACTATCTCGCTAATTATTTAATTAACCTGTAGAAATGATTTATTATTTACAGTTTTATTGAGTGTAACAGCAATTATTTGAATTAAATTATATTGATGTAAAAAAAAAAAGTAATTTTAAATACTCAAAATAATCCAACAACGAGTTACTTAACTTTTTCGGTAACATTTAAAATTGGGTGTGTGGCGTCATCTGTTATGATATTTTATTTTAAAAACTGTTTATATTTTTGATTATTATAGAATGGAAAAAGTATAATTTTGAGGATATAGATGCGTTTTATTAAAATAAAAATGTAGATGCTAATGAAGAGTAAAGTCTTCATTAACTCCCATCTGACTTGAGATATGTCACAACTTCTCTTTATCTCTCTACTCCCTTGACCTTTAACCACCAAAATTTAACAATATCAATTTCCTAATATACAAACCTCCCTACAAAATTTCATAAATTTTCGACAAAAGACACGGGAGTTATTAAGCTTGAAAGTGAGTGAACAAAAAACCTCCGAATGTTTCTGCGTTTCTCAACATTTTAAGGTCCCCTGAGTCCAAAAATATAAAAATTCTGCGAAGGGTCATTATTTTGCCCCTTTGCCTTACTTTTCCTCTGATATATATAACAGCGGAAAAGTAAAAATAAGCAGAAAATGTAATATAACACGTCATGGTAGATACTCTTTTTTTCGTATGTTGTTTGGAATTAAAATAAAAACAAAGCATTTATTTAAATAGAATTTACTTTACATATTCATTTTAAATTAATTTTTTGCATTGTTTTAATTTCTAATAGATTTCATAAAATTAAGAGGATAGAAGACATTTTTTTTTCTAGTTGTACATTATTCATTAGCTACATCATTTATGAATTGCTATTTATATTAGTATAGACATTGATATTAGTAATAATAACTATTAGTTATAATAACCTATTATATCTAATAGTTTTTCAATCAGTACATAATTTCTATTTATTTATTAAAACAATATTTACTTTTTAAATAAGTTTTATTTTATGTTAATTTTAAGCCAGTGTTTTGGATTTTTGTTATCTGAAGTAAACATTAACTTATCATTCAATAATAAATAATTTTTAAATTTAATTATTTTTATTTAAAGTAATGATTTTAATTTGATTTAAAATATTTGCAGAAATTGTTCCCACAAATAAAAGTAAAGTTTATATTTAAAAATTATACAATCTTCACTTTTATTCGATAGATTAAATAAGTTTCAGAATATATCATATACTGTATAACTTATTTTTTAAAGTTTACTTATTTAATTTACTGTAATTTAAAATAATTACTTTTAAATGGTAAGAATTCTTAAAACTTCCCTCATAAAAATTTAAATTAATCATTTATACTCTTGTCCAGAGCCTTAGCAATGTTTTTGGTGCTTATGGCAACAATGAGTTTTTTTTTTTAATGCCTTTAAAGTTTCGCAAACATACTTCAAAATTTAAATAATTTATTATGTTATTTTTACAGTAAGATTTAAATCAGAATGATTATTAAATCTCTTCTTCAAATTTGTAAATTTTTTTCTAATGGTAGACTATATCAGAACATTTACAAATTATTGATAAATGTTGTTATTATTTTAAGTAATGTTTTAATTACTTTTGCATTTATTTCAAATATATATTCTTTTAATTTTTCAATAGTTGTTGTCGTCGTCACGATCTCTGTTACATAGATAAGCTCGGAAAAGAATGCAATTCCATTTTCAATCTCTACGTCGCAAATTATAAATGGATCAACGCAGGAGGAAAAATTTCTTGCTGTAAGTTTTTCTTTGTCTACGAATAACTTTAAAAATATATAGACAATATTAATCTTTTTAAAACATTTTAAAACATATTGTGTACTAGCACAGCCATTTTTCATGCTTATAGTAGATTCGGTCAAACTCACAATAGATAGGGCCTATAGCTGATTAGTGAAAGATGATGTTCGCTATTCGAGGCAGTCAATCCCGACTGACCATTGGCCATTGAAAATTTAACTAAAACAAATGTAATACTAATATATTGTTAAAACAGTCTGTATTATAAAAATTATTTTATTTATTCTTCTTTAATAGTTTAGGCTAAATATATCCTACAAATCAGAATTTAGATGTTTATTTATTTATTTTTTTGAAATTCCTAATTGAAGTATTTAAGTGGTTCTTAAATGATGATTTAAGGTATGAGACTGTATAATAAGCTTGTTCGGATTTTGATTACGCATACATTTTTATGACGTTGTTTATAATAACTAATGTCTATAAACAGGCAGAACAGTAGTTTGATTAAGTTATTTTTTGTAAACAAATTCTGTTTTTAGATCACAAAATTAATATTTTCAACACGATCTTTTCCAAAAATCCGAACAATCTTTTTACACAACTTTGTTATTATTCAAGTATAAATTTCAAATTATTTTTTGTATAATTTGAATATACTAAAATGGATAATGGAAATTAATGACTATTTATTTCTTTATTATTACTTATATTATTAGAAATTAAATCTACATTTACTATTTTTGTTTAGCAATTGAAGACACTAATCCTTGCAATCGAGCAACATGTGCCTGTGATCGAGAAGTAGTATTTTGTTTAGCTAAAAATATCAAGGAATATAAAGAAGAGCACAGATATGTTAGATCTGCATTGAAGACTTGATGTAATAAATTAATATTTTGAGATATTAAATAAGCATAATCGTTTAATACAAAAATATATTTTAAAAAAATTAGAGAAATAAATGTTTAACATCCATTCGAATGAAATTTTCTATTCGACTTCTTAGCACTTTGTTCGTATATAAAATTAATATTTTTAATTTTATAAATATATTCAAAAGATAATGCTCTTATTTTAAATGTATATATTATAATAAAATGTTATTTAACAAAATTTTATTTCTGATATATTTTGTGTTCTATTCAATTCATTTTAGTGAATAGGATAAATCCCATCTAAAGTTAGCCTATATATATTTTAAATCGACATATTTTTAGTTAACATAAAATTTTAAATATTTATTATTAGTAGTGGATGAAGACTCATATACAAAAGATACTTGGTTGTACTGTATATTAATTGTTTCTTTTTCAAAAAAAAAATCCAAGAAAGAGTTGTATAAAAGCTTAATTTTGAGGATAGGAATAAATTTTATTTAAAAAAAAAAAAAATTGTAAATGTAATAACGAGTAAAATCTTCATTAGGCTAAGTTCGACCCTACTTGAGATATGACACGAGTCTCCCTCTATCTCCTCACCCCTCGAACCATCAAAATTTGATAGCATCAATCCCCTAATACCGTGGTTCTCAATCCGTGGTCCGCGGAACACAGGTGCTCAGTGAAGCCATTTCAAATGTTGCGCGAAAATATCAAATATACAATTAAAAATTGTTGCAAAAGGAAAATCAATACAATGTAAAATAATTTTTGTATGGGAATGTAATCAGCAAACACCAATGATGTCATAGTGTGCTCTTGATTTCAAAAAGGTTTGCACCCCTGCTTTAAAGCTGATGTATTGTAAGTGTTCCGCGGAAAAAAAAATGTCAAAGTTTAGTGTTCCCCGACTTCAAAAAGATTGAGAACCACGACCCTAATACACAAACCTCCTTGCAAAATTTCAGAAATTTTCCACAAAAGGCACGGGAGTTATTAAACTTCAAAGTGGGTGAACAAAATCATGCATACAAAAAAAATCCCCAAATTTTTAATATTTTTTTTTATTTCAAAAGTGTAAAAATCTTGGGAGGTCTTGTTTTTGACCTATCGCCATATTCTCCTGTATTATATAGGCCTACAACAGCCGAGAAAGTAACAGTCGCTTGAGAACATTCTTCAAGAAACATATGTCAGACACAATCAGCGGTAGATCTAGAAAATTTATGTAAAAACTAAAATGAAAATGATCTGTAGTAAAAGAAACATGAACATTTTAAGCATTCCTAAATCTTTTCTATTGTCATTAGCCTAGTTTTCGCTTTTTAAAAGTAGACCACACAGGAGATAGAAAAAAAGAATTCGCCTGGAACGAAATGGGATCATCATGATAGAAATATAATCCCCTTCACATCGCCACTCGAGCGTTTTCTAAACATAACTTGAACTAAGGTCTGTAGAGTCGTAAGTGTGTCAATAGTTGACGCATTTTGTGAAGTTTTTGTTATTTAAAACCTTTGTAATATATTCATTTCATTTTTTAAAAAAATATTGTAACCTTAACCCTTTTTTTCTTTTGTGTTACGTTAGCACAACGCTTACTCTATTGTTAGAAAGCTACATTAACATTTTAAAAAATATATGTTTTATTATGTAAATGTTTAAATAAATTAGAAAGCTAATTTAAGGTGCATTTGTTTTCTTTTGGCTAAAAAGTTATAAAGTATGAAATATATTTGAAAATATATTTAACAACTTATTACATTGAGACTGTATTAATTATATAATAAAATATAAAATAAAAGTGTAAATTTGATATTTAAAGACCTGAATAGAATATAACTTCATATTTTTGTACAGCTATTATTTTTGTTTTTAGCTTTTTCTGTCTTGTAAGCACTAAAGAAAATCTTTTTACCAGATCCATCATGGATTGGCTAGGCTCATGATGAGGAGCAACAGGATGAGAGATAGAACCCAACATATCTAAGACAGATCACTCATGAAAAATTCCAATAGTTCACACTCCGATTCCATTTCAGGTCTTTCAGACTATAGGAGATCTTTAATGTCGCGACTGGCAGTTCCTCTGTACTTTAATACTAGGGATATTAGGGGATAATAGGGATATATAAAAGAAACATTCAAAAATTTCTCTTAAGTCTTAATCAATATGGCTTTTAAAATATTTATTTCGTATAATTTAATATTATAGTTTACATTTTTAATTCATTTTGACTCATGTTTATAAATTGTATATTTTATCAAGTATCATCCATAAAATCGATAATCAATGAAATTTCAATATATCCCTTAATTAAGTTCTTACATCATTGTTGAATTTAATTCGCGATGAAAATATAGGTATAGACGATGGTTTTTTTCTAATTGTATGTATTGTATATATTTATAATAAGTACTCCGATGAAAAAAAAATAAATCAGACGGAGGTTTGGATTAACAAGAAAAATTAACAACTAAACCGTTAAAAACGTTTTAGAAATAAACTTATTTTATATATTCAAAATTTTTAATAATTTTATATATACAGATTCACTATTTTCACTCACTAAAATTTAAAATTCGAATTTCTTAAATCTAAAAAAATCTTTTAAAAATATCCTCTTAGTGCTAATAGGACAAAAGAAATTTAAAATAAAAGTGACCGTATGGATAAAACTAATGGCTTACTTTCTGCTCTTTTCCGGGTTTTTTTCACGCCTCTGACATCTAAGTAGGGTTAGTTTCTATAGATTCTCGGGAAGAATTTCCATAGGAAGTCTTTCTGGGAGGCACACCCTTAGCAGATTGTTCAAATGTTGGTTTGCCGTATCCCATAAAATAACCTCAAAAATGACCCTCCCGTTGGAAGATAGCCCCCGTGTTGCATTGCCTTATTCCGTTATCATATCAACCAACCAAAAACCGTTTTCGAGACTTTATTATATTTAATATATACTGAGTGGTCATTTTAATTAATCCACTGGATTAACTCAAAAAATATGCATCCTAGAAAACTTTATTAAATCAAAAATGTTAGATATCAAAGAGGCCGCAAGATGAGACTATCCGTTCCATCATAGATGACACTAGAATAGGTGAAAGTGGTGTCAACTTCACTTTCTTAAATAAAAATCGTAATTTTTTTTATTGCATATTATCACTGTACATAAAAAACAAATTTTTATTTAAAACATTTTTTCGAAAAATGTATTTATCGAAAGTTATGAGTGTTTGAAGTTTTATTCGACCACCGCCACATCGTTCACGCCTGAATCTATGGATATATGCGAATTTCACTAAAAAAAGGGGGAAGAAAAGGCATTAAAAATCATTAGGAAATTATTATTTGATGGAATCATTCTTTTTCTTCCAATAATGAACTCATACAAAACTAGTGCCACAACATACTAAAACCATCATGCTTATGATAAAAAGACGTTGGTCTCAATTCCACCAAATAATAATAATTTCCTAATAATTTTTTAAAGCATTTTTCTTCCTTTTCTCAGTGAAATTTACGGATATCCACAGATTTACGGATATGGCGACCGTACGAAACTTCAAATACTCATAACTTCGATAACTTTATATTTCGAAAAATATTTTAGATAAAAGTTTGTTTTTACAATCTTATTGTGTAATATGCAATAAAAAATGATGGTTTACATTTAAGAAAATGAAGTTAAACTATCATAGATAATATCATCATAAGTAAAACCGATAGCTCCATCTTGTGTGAATTGATTAAAATGGAAATGGGATGGGTGTTTAGAAAATAAGCACCCCCTCATTAACTTTTGAAACCTGTCAGGGAAAGCAGGGTGATGCTAAATACATATGAAATAAAGGCAAGATAAAGAAAGAGAGAAGTCGAGAGAAAAGACATAGGTATACGGCTAAGTTGTAGCCGAACCTTAGAAGATAAATAAATTTATTGGTACAAAATAAATTCGTTATAATATATATAATAAATAAATATTATTTATTTATTTTTGGCTATTTTTGACCTGTGGGCACTAANAAGTTCGACCCTACTTGAGATATGACACGAGTCTCCCTCTATCTCCTCACCCCTCGAACCATCAAAATTTGATAGCATCAATCCCCTAATACCGTGGTTCTCAATCCGTGGTCCGCGAAACACAGGTGCTCAGTGAAGCCACTTCAAATGTTGCGCGAAAATATCAAATATACAATTAAAAATTGTTGCAAAAGGAAAATCAATACAATGTAAAATAATTTTTGTATGGGAATGTAATCAGCAAACACCAATGATGTCATAGTGTGCTCTTGATTTCAAAAAGGTTTGCACCCCTGCTTTAAAGCTGATGTATTGTAAGTGTTCCGCGGAAAAAAAAATGTCAAAGTTTAGTGTTCCCCGACTTCAAAAAGATTGAGAACCACGACCCTAATACACAAACCTCCTTGCAAAATTTCAGAAATTTTCCACAAAAGGCACGGGAGTTATTAAACTTCAAAGTGGGTGAACAAAATCATGCATACAAAAAAAATCCCCAAATTTTTAATATTTTTTTTTATTTCAAAAGTGTAAAAATCTTGGGAGGTCTTGTTTTTGACCTATCGCCATATTCTCCTGTATTATATAGGCCTACAACAGCCGAGAAAGTAACAGTCGCTTGAGAACATTCTTCAAGAAACATATGTCAGACACAATCAGCGGTAGATCTAGAAAATTTATGTAAAAACTAAAATGAAAATGATCTGTAGTAAAAGAAACATGAACATTTTAAGCATTCCTAAATCTTTTCTATTGTCATTAGCCTAGTTTTCGCTTTTTAAAAGTAGACCACACAGGAGATAGAAAAAAAGAATTCGCCTGGAACGAAATGGGATCATCATGATAGAAATATAATCCCCTTCNCCTTTAAAGTTTCGCAAACATACTTCAAAATTTAAATAATTTATTATGTTATTTTTACAGTAAGATTTAAATCAGAATGATTATTAAATCTCTTCTTCAAATTTGTAAATTTTTTTCTAATGGTAGACTATATCAGAACATTTACAAATTATTGATAAATGTTGTTATTATTTTAAGTAATGTTTTAATTACTTTTGCATTTATT